CTGTCTGTGGGATGCTGTTCTAGGAGTTGGGAATCCATCAGGGAAAAAAATTATAAAGAATGGCCAAATCAGATAAAAACACATTATATAAATAAATTGTGTGTGTGTGTATTTACATGTTCATTAAGTGCTCCAGGATTCTCCCCTCTAAATAAAATAATATGAAGCAACATGTACTAAGGATAGTCTATTTTCATTCTTTGAAATATCTCAAAATAGATTCATTTATACATATCAATATTTTTCATTTTGTGTCATTATAATTAATGGTCAATTTTAAGAACTAGTATTATAGTCTCAAAATGAGCTAAACTCCTGTTTTATTAAGCAGATTGGTCAGTTCTGATGAAATAGTTTACTTATTTATCCATACAAGCATAAACTATCTTTGCTTCTCTGAGATCTGGGAAGTGAGTGATGATCTTCAATAGGAATTTTTATCTGCTAGAGCTTAGTGTGTGATAGCATACTCAGAAGACTGGATTTATACTAGAAATGAGACATTTTAATGTGTGCTTAGGATGCCTAGATCTATATTAAATGAGCCTATGGAATTACGTGTGTGTGCATGTGCATCCTTATCCCTGTCCCCATCTCTATCTGTCCCCATATGCCATCCATCTCCTTAGCTGTAACTTCTCTATGTGGGTCCACATAACAGTCATTAGCATGGCATTCCTCATCAGCCTACTTTTCTATTGTGTTCTTCATGCTGGTTGTAACAAGCCTCTGCCAACCTCCATGTTCTTTTGGAGCATTTTGTGAGATGTGCTTTACTCTACATGTTGTGGTTTAATCCAGACAGACAATAAAAAACCTGGGGGATTTTCTCATTCCATTCATTCTGGGACGGTCATTTTTATTACTGCAAACACATGTTCTCAAAATGCACAGTACAGCAAGTTTGGTATGGCTTGGGAGTTTTGCATATTTTCCCCCTTCTTATACTGGCATACTTATAATACCATGGATAAAACAGAAAACAGAAGGAATAATTCTCTAAATGCTTTAAAACATTTGGATGTTTGGTTTTTTCCTGACAAATCATCTGAGTGATATTCTCAAATTTATCCTTGCATCATGATAAACCATGAGAAAGCTATGTATTTGAACAAAATTTTCTTGACATCCTTCTAACCCCATTCCCCATAAAATTTAATTCGGTGAGTAGCATTTTAGATTTTTGTCCTGTGCTTTGAGAAAGGAGTAACTAAGAAGTGGAACCTGTTCCTTCACTTGCTGTGAGAATTCTGTGAGCAATTATCATCCACAACATAGAGAGACAGAGAGGAAAAATATTATCGGCATTTCAGATAACTATGATATTTTAGTACCTAATTTTCTTTTCAAGTACTATGGAATAAAATAGAATACTGTGAAAAAGATAACAAGTAACGCTATCTGACCCCTAAGTTATTCCTTAGTGTATCTGATTATGCAAGTGGGTTTTTGTTGTTGTTGTTGTTGTTTTAACTGTGTAGACAAAGGGGATTCTGGATTACCTACATTACCCTGATCTCTTGCACCCAGCAAGGCTTCATTTTAACTGAGTACATTTTCTTTGTTTGCAAGAGTTACAGTGTTAATGATAATGTTTAATATCAAATTCAGGTTTGGATAGTCTCATCTCCCGGAAGAGATCAGATCCTTCCTGATCTCTGGAGCAGATGGGTTGAGTCCTTTGACTAGGAAACCTACTGAGTGGAATTTTAAGAGATGCTAAGGAACATAGTCTACATAAGTTCTTTTGACCTAATATTTTTAGTTGTAGTCAAATTATATTTGAGATGCTAAGAATGGAGGGCAAAGAACACCAAGACGTTGGGCTACTATAAGAATAGTCCATGTGCTTAAGTAAAAACTAGTTTTTGGGGCTGGCCCAGTGGCTGAGAGGTTAAGTTCCTGCACTGTGCTTAGGCAGCCCATGGTTTTGCTGGTTCGGATCCTGGGCGCGGACATGGTACCTCTCGTCAGGCCATGCTGAGGTAGTGTCCCACATGCCACAACTAGAAAGACTCACAACTAAAATATACAACCATGAACTGGGGGGATTTGGGGAGTAAAGGCAGAAAAAAAAAAAAAGATTGGCAACAGTTGTTAGCTCAGGTGCCAATCTTTAAAACAAAAAACTAGTTTTTATCCCCTGAAACTATACTCGAGACATCTGCTGTGGACAAATAGAAATGAGATTCAGATTCAGAATGTTCCAAGAGAAGGGGGGAGCTGAGACATGTTGAAGAGAAGTATGAAGGCCTAATTAAAACCTTTAAAATTATATAAATAATGTACCTTTATAAGAGAGAATATGGAAAATATAGATAAGCACAAACATCTCTGTACACAGAGCTATTAACATTCCAAACGTATCCATAGATATTTAAAGTATGAAATTTTATTTCATTAAAAAAGTACCTGTATTAGTTTGCTAGGGCTGCCATAACAAATACAAACAATTGGGTGCCTTGAACAATACAAATTTATTTCTCACAGTCTTGGAGTCCAGAAGTCCAAGCTCAAGTTGTCGGTAGGTTTGATTTCGTCTGAGACGCCTCTTCTTGGCTTGCAAATGGGAACCTTCTCACTGTGTCTTTCCTGTGTGTGCATGCATATCTGTGTCCTAATGTCTTTTTATAAGTACACCAGTGACAGGGGATTAGGGACCACCCGTGTGACCTCATTTTACCTGAATTACCTCTTTAAAACCTTATCTCATTCTGAGGTGCTGGGGGTTAGGACTTCAACATGTGGATTCGGGAGGGACACAGTTCAAGCCCGTAACAGTGATCAAACCATACATATTTGAAATCTGCTTTTCCCACTTAGCACCATACCAGGAACGCCTTTTCATGTCAATGAATATACGTACAGTCTAACATTGTGTTTAATGGACGTAGACGATTTTGTTGTGTATGTGACCTAGTGAATTGTCATTTCCCCTGCTGCTGTACTCCTTAAATGCTTTCAACTTCTCATTTGCTATTTTAAACAATGCTTCAGTGAATATCCTCATAACAAGGTCTTGCCACATGAGCTTATGTTTATAGCTTAATTTTCCTAAAGTACAGCTACTGAGGCAAAGGGTAGAACATTTGGAAGTTTGTGATACGTTTTATCAGATCACCAAAAGATTGCACCGAATTATACTCACATGGGCAGTATAGAAGAATTCCCATTTCTTCCCCTAAATTTCAGCAACACCGAGTATTATCATTCAAAAATCACTAATAATATGATTAAAGGAAAAATCCTTTTTATTATTGTTTGAATTTACATTTCTTTGATTACTAGGGTGGTTGAGTCTTTGTTCATATGTTTACTGACCTTTTGCATTTCTGGCGTTAGTTGTGTATTTATGTCTCTGCCCATTTTAAAATAATTTCTATGACTTTCTACATTTCTATGACTTCAGTTTTTTATATTTAACCCCTCTAGAATTTATTTTATTTTGCTTAATTTTGTTTCAAACACGGTATATTGGATAATCTTTTCTAGAACACAACTGTTGTATGTTTCTGGGTTTTGTTTGCTTTCCAGTTTTTCTTATATATTTTTATATTAGTGTCATGCTGTTTTAATTGGTATTCTATATACATATGTATATAGGTTGTATTAGCCCATTGATATTCTTCTCTTTTAAAATTTTCTTAGCTATTCTTGTGCATGTAATATGTATATATGAATTTGAGTATCACTGTGTTAATTTTCCAGACAATAAAATTATAGTTGAGTTTCTTTTTGTCAAACGTTTATGGAGAACCAGGATTGGATTTAAGCTAGTTATTATTTTTCCCTTTTGCCACTCAATTTGGGGTTCTTTAAAATCTCACCTTGTTTTTTTGATGTGAGTAGATCAGATGCTCATGTAATTATCAACAAGATCCTAAGTTGTTGAGCAAAATGTTACCAGCAGTTAGTTGAATAGATATAGGCTTTCAGTTTTAGAAAGGGCTTTCATTTTATTCTTTTCTTTGCATTTATCCTACTTCTGCCAAGTCAGATTTTCCAAAGTTACCAAGATTGAGTGTCTAATATAAATGTTTTATACTGTCTTCCTAGTTTCAAGCACATTTTTTGATGTAGGCATAATTTCAAATAGACTTGCTTACTTTTAAAGAGTAGTTTTTCAGGAAGTCATACACTCTTTTTTCTCACATTATGTGCTTTAAGTTTTACAAACTTGCTCTTTAGGCAGAACATTTTCCCTAGACTCCTTCCCCACACTTCCTCCATGATCGATAACCTGGCTAATTCCTGTTTATCTTATTTGGGGAGGGCTCCCCTGACCACTGACACCTCAAAGACACATAGACTTTAGCTTCCCCTTCCATGTCCATAGCATCTTACTGCACTAATTTATTACTTTAATTAGCAAATCCTGCACTAGACTGTAAGCTCCATGAATACTGAGACTTACCCAAATTGTTCACCACTGTAGACCTAGAACTGAGCATAGTGCAATATGTGGCAATAAACAAATAAACAAAATACTGAATGACTGAGAACACAGTATTATTTTACATTAAGCCAAATATCTGATATGAGTTAAACACCAGCCCTTAACTCCTTTGTGTGTGGCTTGTATGTGTCTATGTTTGATTTGGGGGTTTGAGGAAGAATGGTGGGATACAAAGGAGCCTGCAGTCCTCTCACTGCTCTTAATGATGAATCTGCATGTAACTAATGAATTTTAGCATCTCTGCCCATTGAAGCGTCTGGGAACAAGCTGGAAGAGTCATTTTCTCTAGTAGTGGCTTATGTAGAAAGGAGCAAACCTTTTATCTTCTTAGATTGAAGAATCAAGGGAAAGCAATTTTAAACACGCAAATGAATTAGAGCTTTGCTCTATGTCAGCACTGACCACCCTTCTATGCCCCACTTTCCTTTCCCCACCCCTTAAGATATTTTTGCAAAACATCACTGAGTTCATTTGGGACCAGATTTCAATGTTGCTATATTATGGGTGACCCTGAACTTATTTGTGTTTTTCCTCATCACTGTAGATCTATGCATATGTCTTTGAGAACATCAAGTCTGTCCGACTGGAGGCACTGCTCTTATCCTTGTTGAGCATCACGGTGCTTGTTCTGGTTAAAGAGCTGAATGAACAGTTTAAAAGGAAAATTAAAGTTGTTCTTCCTGTCGATTTAGTTTTGGTAAGTATGAAATCAGCATTTAACATTCTGCCCTCTGATGCTCTCCAGTTTCTGGAGGTAACCTGCAGAGGCTCACTATGTTGTCTATAGTAACCCACAGCTACTTCTGTCTCTCATTAGAGTAGGGCTAATTTGCATGCCTATACATTAATGTAAGAACAGGAAACATTTTGAGTCAATAATTTAAAAAAGGAGGCACACGTTTTCAATCTACACAGCATTTCTCATATACTTGTAATTTTTTTTACATAAATCATATAGCCTAAGATTTTAAATGAGACATTTCTAACAGTGAAACTGAAAATATCTCTGGCTTGATGCATCCTAAGGTAATAAAAAGTGATACCACATCCTACTGATATGGCATCTGTATGATATGCATAGAAATATTATCAATTGAAAAATGTCCATTCATTATTCATAGATTTGTTGACACTTTTGTTACTGACATAATTTGCTTTATTAAAAGGATACTCATGGTTTTCATTGTCCAGGGCTGGTTCTCTGAGATATTTTTTTTGTTGTACCTGTCAAAGCAATAAATTATACTTTGCTCCTAAGGCATATAGCACTAAAAAAATATGTTTTGAAATTTTCAGGGCCTCTAAGGGGAACTCTTAACTAAACAGGACATTAAGTTGGCAATTAAATGTTAACACAACCATAGTCTACTAAATTACTTATCATTAATTGGCTTTAGTTTTTTAATGGTCTTTGGATTATTCGTGTCTATGACAAGTGGTATCTAAACAATTTCACCTATTGAAATATCCCTTCATACTATTGAAATAGTGTAGGTTTATATAAGTGTATAAGGCTAACACGTTGGAAAATGTCTCTGAGGGATATGATTCATTTCTGTAGAACTAAGATGGATGGCCTCTCTCCATAGCTAGACCTTTTTTGTTTTAAATTGTGTTTATTTATTTATTTTTTAATTGCAGTAACATTGGATTATAACATTATATAGCTTTTGGATGTATATCATAATATATTTTGAATTCTGTGTAGATTACATCATGTTCACCACCCCAAAGCTAATTATAGTCCATCCCCTCACATGTGAGCCTAATCATCCCTTTTGCCCTCCTCCCTTCCCCTGTGGTAACCACCAATCCAATCTCCATTGCATAGCTAGACCTTGAATGATTATATACTCTTGATAATTTTTGGAGATACATATAACGCATATGATATATATAATATACGCATGTGTGTGTGTCTGTATTTGAAATAAGCTGTAAAAGTGGAGGATACCAAGATTATTAGTTTTCACAGCAACAATTGTGAAATGTACCATTTATTCCAGTGTCCTATAGGCATTAAGAAATGCTTATTATATCTTGAGATGCTTTATTACATAAGTTGCATAAAACCAAATATTGAAAATAACCTTAGGGAAGAAGTCCCTTGAACTAGTAATAAAACAGTTACTTATTTCTTGCAAAATTAGTAAGAATTATTCTTATAGTAAAAGAAAAGGTAATTCTTATGCAGCGTTGCCCTCTAATATTTGAAAGACTCAAGACAAAAGTACTAATGCTGGCCCAAATACCTAAAAGTAATGGATCAAATGTTAAATAAAATAGCTTCTATTTTGCTACCTTGACTAAAATACCTTAGTGATTACCTTGAAATCCAGATTAGAACGCAGAATTCTCCTACTCCTTTGAGTTCTTACAGAAAGTGGAAGCATGGGGAGAGCCAGCCTCTTGGCCAGCCCCTTCTCTTCCCACTCCAACTCTATCCCACCCACCAGGGATTCATATGTATGTGTGTGTGGATGCTGTGCCCCAGTGTCCAAGCTCCAAACACATCTGCCCTCTTCCACCACAACTGCCCCTTGGCCTTCTCTTGGGCCACACTGGGAAGATGGACCTGGGGAAGATGCCTTGGAAGCTTGAGGCCATTTGGGCAGGAAATTGTAGCTTCCTAAGAATCCAGAGTGTGGTCCAGAAAGAGGGGTATCAGTTTCATCCCCTTGCCCCTACAAAGCTCCAATATTGTGGAGAGGGCTACAGTTGAGGAGGGCCAGATTAGAAGCCTCTAAAGCACTGGGCCTTGCTGGGGAAGATCCCCTCTTGCCCAGGTCTAAGGGCAGTGCCAGCCTTATACACACATATAATACTGAAATAATATTGAAGAGGGACAAATGAATTGACTGATAAAGAAGTTTAATTATGTTAAAGAAATACAGTGAGGAAGTAAGACACATCTGAAAGACTAATTCAGTGACTTAGATTACTTAATTTTAATATTGGCTATGTGTATTGAACATCATGTATTCTTCCATTTTCAATAAGGATCCGGTATCTTGTGCCTATGGTATATTTTCTTTCACAACTGAAAATATTTTCTGACCTGATTTAAGTATTTCACGAAAATTATTAGCAGTTAACATTTATTAATTGGTTTAGGAATTTTTGAATGTGATAGTACTTTCGGTTCCAACCTAATAGCCTGAATTGTTAACTACCATTATCTTCTTTAGACAATGCTGTTGTATCACAATATTTATAAAGCTCAACAGTATAACCTGTACAGTTGTGCTGCCTTTTTAAAAAATCCTCAAGGATGTTTTGCTTTATAAGGCCATTTTATATTTTAAAAATCGCTGCAAATTCAGTTAAATATCATTGCAGAGAACAGAAATACATGAAAGGATTCAAACCCCTACAAAATGATATTGGGCACTAATTATTAGGTATGCTTTATTTTGCTAGTGAGATGTTATTATATCTTTTTTTGTCTTGTATATGTTAAATTTGTACTTTAAGTAGATAATTGGTGTCTCTCTTTTAACAAGAAAGATGTAGTGTATAAACAGTTCTAAACAGATACCTTACAGACACCATAACCATGTGAAATTTCCGGTACCTACTAAAATCAGCAGAAGAATGAAAGGAGAATGTGAAAATGGATGGAAAACATTGGGGTGGCATGACTGGCAAAACGAAGGCTGAAATGGGTTCTGAAAATACATTTTAAATGTGGTTATGGCTCCAGACAGAGAACATGTGACCTTACTTGTCATGAATCATATATCATATAACAAAGTATAGGGCACCTGAGACTCCATGGAGGTATTTGAAAAATATTGAGCCCAACGTGTTACTAACTAGCATATTTTACTCCAAGAAGCAGCAAAAGCTCAAACTTCGAGAATATTCAAGGAGATTGTAAATCATCAATAACCTGTTATAGGAATATTGATGCCATATCTCAAACTCTTGAGAGGTTGCTGTCATGGAAAGAAAATGTGCTGTGGTTATAAAGCATCCTTTCATGTCACAAGAGACAAGTTTTAGGTTGTACTGTGGTATCTGTACATACACACACACACACACACACACATACATACACACTCCTATATTCTATGTTCTGCTCCCCTTCAAAATCAAACATAATTGGGTTGACACAGGGTAGGATATTAGAAAAGCCATATTACTAGGATGTGATTTAATTTTTGAGACTGTAAATTAAGTAGTTTCATATCTCAAAGGGATTTTTTGATTTTTAAAATTTTCTTAATTTTTAAAAATCTGTGCAATTTCTTTATTACTCTTGACAGTCATGGGACACATGAACAATGTTTACTTTTAAAAATAGTCTTGGGGTATTTGAGAGGCCAGTAATAATTTTCTTTTTCTTCTTTCAAATGGAACCTTTCACACAGATTATTGCCTCATCATTTGCTTGTTATTGTACCAGTATGGAAAAAACATATGGATTAGAAGTAGTTGGTCATATTCCAAAAGGGTAATGTAGTCTTTTTTTCCTTTTCTTTTCTGTCTGTTTGCTTGTTTGTTTTTGATGGAGGAAGGGACTAGCGGTAGGTGGGTATGGATTTCATTTCTTTCAAAGGCCCTGTATGCAACAAAATTCTAATTAATTCCTATTTTGAAATGATAGAAACAAGCAATACACATATAAAGAAAGAGAAACTTCCTAGAGTGTTTATTATTACTACGGAAGTTGATAACTATTTTATACAGCATTCCTTCAGGTGAGAGATTTGTCTATCATTTGAAAAAAAATGAAGGGCATTGAATTTCTAAATTAGAGTCATGCTCTGGGATTTAGTCTGCCATTCCCCTCACATATTCTTATCACTATTTTTAGTTCATTTAAAACATAGTAAAAGTACACAAGCATCATTTAAAATAGCAAACCCTTAGGCCTGGGTTGTGTACGATGATGAGAGAAAGGGCGGAAGTGGCGAAGAAGGCATATTCCTAGCTGGCTTAAAGCGTTCCTCTGGACACTAAAAGGACGTTTAACAAGAAGAGAATGGGTTCCCCTACAAGGGCAAAAGGTTGTTCCAAATATAGCCTCAAGTAAAATGAAGGCATCTTAGGGAAGAGAGGGGTGTCTTGTGGGTTATTCCCTTTTAATGGGCTGTATATACGGCAATATTTATAAATTTGGGGGAAAGTTACAGTTGTTGAGTCATCTGTATTTTTATTTTCAGTCACAAATTTTGGTTTCTAACTACATTAAAATAGAGGAACAGCAGAAAAATTCTCAGAGATTAGAAAAGATAATTAAAAAAAAAATCTTTTGTCTTTAGCCCCTAGAGACAGAGACTAACAGTGATTATCTGACTCAACTTGGATTTTCTAAAGGGTTCTCCACTATTCCATTCTCAAGTCAGTTTATTGTTTCTTTCTAGGTCAGTTTATTGTTACTAATAATTAGGCAAGCTCAATTTTCGTGAAACAAAAGTTCTTTTACTTTGAAATAGTAGCACTTTTGTATAGTATGTATTTCAAGGCCTATTATGATACAAATCAATTTGTTTGGGGGTTAAACTTTAGTAAGTGGGCAAAAAAATCATGCCTCTTCTCCATCCCCTCTAATTCTCCTGTATTTTCAGTCATCTTTCCAGACTCATCCTCTTAAGGAAGCGTAGAAAGAGCATGGCATTGAAATTAGATGGAGCTGAGATTGAATCCCAACTCTACCATTCACACTGTGACTTTAGATACATTACCTAACCTTTCTCAAAATGTTTTCTCCTCCACACAGTGTACACAGTGGTACTGGGTCTGGGGGGTTGTTGGGAGAATTAAATGAAATAGTTAATATGAAAGGGCCAAGCTTTCTTCTTACATGCCAGGTATTAAATCAGCATGAATTATCTTCCCTTTTCCTTCTACTTTGCCCAAAAGGGATTTTTTTTGTTTATTTTTTGGAGGGGAGGTAAGTCTCCCAAAGTATCATCAAGGGTAAATGAACCATAATAGTTTGGCCCAAGTGGTTTTCAAAAGACATTAAGACAATGGCTAGGTGTTAATTGAAAAAAATATTTTAAACCGTTCTTTAAAACAGAAACAGTTAACTGTGGTCCTACATCTTGCAGCAGAGGATGATGGGGCCTTTGTACATGTCTTTCTTAACGTATGTGATACATAGTTAAGTGCTGCAAAAGAATCAAGTTAAAAACATAATTAAGGTTGCGAACTCAATGGCAAATTTAGGGATTAACTCAAGAATTGTAGCTCACAGTAAACTGGTGTTTGCATACAACACTGTAGTATTCAAGGCAGAAAATATAGTCTCTGATGCCAGCCAAATAAATCTTTAGAAAGGTCCGAATGAAAAAATGCTCCAGATCTTCTTTTGTCTGATACAGGAAATTTTTGTTGAGGTAGTTTCTGTGATATAACCTCAATTTCCTGGATGTGCATGACAGTTAGACGCATGGAGCTGTCCCTGTGGTGTTCCTTGAGATTTTGCTTTTCTCCTAAATAATGTTGAAAACAAAGAGCTCCTAAGGGCAAGGCTGCTTGGTTTTCTCACGGGTATTTCACTTATTCAATGTAAACTTCAGAGCCATTACCACAGATGAATTCATTGCAAGTCTTTACAGAAATTACATGAAAGTTGATGACTTCAATATGGTCTTTCTTTATACAGAATTCCTCCACCTAGAGCTCCTCCAATGCATGTCCTCTCTGCAGTAATCACTGAAGCTTTTGGAGTGGCACTTGTAGGATATGTGGCCTCACTGGCTCTTGCTCAAGGATCTGCTAAAAAATTCAAATATTCAGTTGATGACAACCAGGTGGAGTATGCCCCAGCCTCTCTCCACAGCTATCAAAGCATTGTACTGTACACTCTTTGATCCTGAAAATGTTGAACTTATGAAAGCATAACTTTCCTAAGTGTGTAGCAAGAATAGGTAGAACAAAACAAAAGAAAAATCTCCAGATCATTCATAGAAACTTTAAAATCTGGTGATCATAGGTTTATTTATAATACACTTTTTTTAGAGAGAGGGAAAGACATCTTGATGTTATTTTTTATTTCTTTTTTGGAGAGAATCCAAATATATTTATCATTGCACTGACCTTTAAAAATTATGGATTTCATAGTACAAATAATGCTAGTACTGTTTACTCTTAGTAAAAAACTAAAGGATGTGGGGATCTATTCTTAGATTGCCAAAGGATGAAGATTATATTGATCATATTTCTGAATTTACTCCTCCAGTTCTTATTTCAAGCCCAGTAGCCTATACAAGTCTGCAGGGACAGCTGCAGGATGGTGGTTATGAATGCCACATTACCTGTGTCTAACTCTCATTCTGACACTACATGACCTTAAGCATTTCTGTGACCCAGGTTTCTCATCTGTAAAAAAGCAGATTTATTCACTCAACAGATGTGTGTTGAACTCTATTATGTACCAGGCACTGTCTAGAAACAAGGGACACAACGGTGCACAACAAAAACCGTGTCTTTTCTCATCTCAAAATCTCCCAGTGGCTTCCCATCATATTCAGATGAAAAGCCTCTTTACCATGACTTACAAAGTCCTATGTGACCTGCCACTATCCCTTTTTCTCTCTCATCTTGTATCCCTTTTATGCTCTGTTCTAGCCACACTTACCACCTTGCTTTTCCTTGAACCCACCAGTCATGCTTCTGGCTCAGGACATTTGCACTTGCTATTGCCAATTGTATAAACTCTGTTCCCTCAGATATCTGCATGCTTCCTTTATTCAAATGTTCCCTTCTCAGGGGGATCTTCCTTGGTAACCTAAAATCCTAAAATCCAGATTTTTCTACTCCCTCCTCTTCTTTACTTTTCAGATTTATCTTGTTTATTGTTAGTATTCCCTCACTAGAACACCAGCTCGATGAGGGCAGGGATGTTTGTCTGTGTTGTTTACTGGCAGCAGCAGCAGAAGGAAAATATTAGGAATCTTTTGCAATAATCCAGGTGATATTTGGTGACTTGGACCAGGATGTAGCAAGAAGTTGAGAAGTGAACAGATTCTTGATTGGATGTTCCATCTGGGAAAAGAGGAAAGAGTCGAGAATATCGCCAAAGCTTTTGGCCCAAGACATTAGAACTTGAGATGGGGAAAATGCAGGAGGACCAGATTGTGGGTGGTAGAAAGCTATAGCCCAATTTAGTTAAGTTTGGGATATCTGCTAGCCGTCCAAATGAAAATGCTGGTCATATAGTAGCAGATTGGCCATATGAGTTTGAAGTTCAGACGGGTGATCCAGGCTGGACAAATTTGGGAGTTGTCAATGAGTATTTGGGTAGGTAAGATGTAGATATGTTAATGAACCAAAATGGATTCAATTCCTGGCGAGTTAAAGTCAGACTCTCTACCAGAAGTAGTTGTCACACAAAGTAGGGTTTATTTGCAGCAAAATGGAGAGCATGCAGAATCATTTTCAAAGTTGTGGTTCTCTCCAGAGTGGGACAGCAGGGGCCTTTTATTTCTGTTGGGGAATGAATGTTCAGAAGGGAGAAGTGGGTATTCGCTTACGCAGGCTCAGTTGGAAAACATACGTCCACATTTGCACAGGCACTGCTCTTGGACTGGGGCTCTGGTTCAGGGTGGTTGGTGGTTGGTGGTTGCATCTCTTAACACAACAAAAAAGAAAGAAAGGAATTTGTATAAATAGTTAAATGCTTTGGAAACCTCCCTTGAGTTTCTCAGGGCAATTAGTTGGTGACAGATAGAGAAAAGAAGTGGTCTAATATTTGTGATTGTTTAGATGAGATGGAACCACAAAGGAAATTGAGACACCATGGCCAGGGAGGTAGGAGGAAAAACAGGAGAGTGTGAGGTCCTAGAAGTGAAGTAAAGGAGCCTTTAGGGAGGAGGAAGTGAGCAACTGTGTCAAATGTCACTTTCAGGCCAGGTAAGGTAGAAATTAATGATTGGAGTTAGCATTGTGGACATCATTTGTGGAGTGGTGGGAACAAATGCCGTGATTGTAGTGACTTAGAAGATAGAGGAGAAATTGGCAACAGAGACTATAAATACCTTCTACTTCCCTATAAGGTTGCTGTGAGAATAGATGAGTAAAGGTCTTAAAACAGTTTCTGACTCACCGTAAGCACTCAATAAATGTTAGCTATTTTTTTATAATGGTTAAATAACAACCAGTGGAGGGAATAGAGATTGAATACAAAGAAGCCTAATCTTTGACAAGTTATACCTGTGGTTTCTAAATATTAATTGTGATTAAGAAATGATATGTTCTCCTATTATCAATCTTGCAGGAGCTTTTGGCCCATGGCCTCAGCAATGTGATTCCTTCATTTTTCTTCTGCATACCAAGTGCTGCTGCCATGGGAAGGACTGCTGTCCTCTACAGCACCAGAGCGAAGACACAGGTATCATTGTTCAGGGACAAAAGAACTGCCAGGCCTTTCCTCTCCTTGGAGAATGGGACAGGCGAGCTTCTCTCTAAAGTTCTGAAAATATTTTCGCTTCTTCAGTTTTTTTTACTAGTTTTGAGGAAGTATATCTCTCTTCTCTTTCTTGTCAATGATCCTTTCAGAAGCCGAATGATTCGGTGAGTGGACTAAAAAATTCTGTACTAATGGCAGCTTTATTGTTGGCAACTTTTGAACCAAAGCTCTCTCTAGTGATGCCTTTGATTTTTTTTTTTGGCTGATCTAATCAGTCGATTTAAAAATTTTCCATTTTAGTTCACTTCCTTTAAATAAAATTAAATCAATTGTATGCAAAATCAGTCCTTGACCCTGAAATTCCTGTTTATAGAGATGTACAAGTATGTAAATGAGTAATAAGATGTCTGTGCACATTTTAGGTTAAAGAAACAGTTATATATTTTTAGGAACCCAAATCAATTCAACATTTATTGAGAGCCTACTGTATACTGGTGTTATGGTGGGTATTGGTAAGATGACAGTGATGATAATGAAGATGTCACTGTGATGATGATGATGGCCATGGTGCTGGTGGAAGCATATCTTGAGTTAGGAGCCAGTCATGTGTGTCATACTTTTTAAATAAATGAACTCATTTAACCTTTTAGGCAACTCTATGAAGGAGGTATAATTGTTATCCTCATTTTCCACATGAGAAAGTTGAGGAAAAGATGGTTGAAGTAACTTACTCAGGTCACAGAGCTAGTGAGTGACAGAGCTAGGATTTGAACCCAGGTAGATTTACTCCAAATCTTGCACTCTTCTCACTGCTCTATAGAAGAAAATTCATGTATTTGTTAATTAAGAAATTAACATTGATAGCTAACCCTTATTAAAATAATTCATGTTTGTTTAACATTGGAATTGAATGCAAACTTTTATGTGATAATTCAAACATTTATTAGGAGTCTAGCTTATATTAAGTCCTTTTTGAGGGGTTGCAGAAGAATAAATTTGAAAAGGATATTGTTCTTGACCTTGGGGGCCAAGTGGCAAGAGAAAGGTGGGTAAATAGACATTAAAATATAGTATAAAACTAATTAATAAAATTACTGATTAACATACCACAGAGCAGAGGAGAAGCAGTAAGAAATTCTGAGTATATAATAATTTGACAAATAATTGCCAACTCATCAGCCAAGTTGTGAAATCCTTACTCAACTTTGCTTTACATGACAATTTGATTGGTTTTCACGCAGTTAGTGATTTCCGGCATGGGTTCATCATGTGTATCAGCATAAACATTTTTGCAAACTATACTCCCAAATGTTTGTGATGTAAATTTGATTGTTTCATACGTAGTGTACTCAGTTATCCTTTACTCTCAGGACCCTTCTATCCATAAAATTCTAGGATTCTATGATAGTTTCCTCCTAGTTTCTCACAAGGATGAGTATATTAAATCTCTTCATGTTCAGGCTAGATAAGTAGGGTGAGTGAGTAAGGGCATGGATTCCAGAGCCTGGGCTTGTGTTCGGGCTCCACCACTAGTGCTTGGGTGACTTTGCACAAGTAACTTGACCTCTCTAGCCTAAGTGGACTCAGCTGTTAAAGTAATTGTGATAAGAATTACATGAATTAATACATGCTTATTTAGCACAATGCCTGAGCACCAAATAAATATTCCTTTACTGTTAACAATATCATTGGCTTTATTATTATTAAGTGTTTTTATTATAATAAAGTATTTTTAGAACCTTTTTCTTAACATTTAATATTAAAATATCCTGGTTTGATTGGGGTGCAGCAAGGCAGTTTCCAGCCCAAGTTTCCCCTCCAACTTGCTGGGGATCTTGAGCAAGTTGGCATCTTTATCCATCACATGGACAGAGATAGTTGGTATAGAATCTGTGAGGTGTCTTCCGGCTTGAATGTGTTCCATATCTGGGGTTTCCTTGGGCATTTACTGCTTTTCTAATTTCTATTTTAGTAATGACAAAAACATCTGATTAATCTTTGTAACTTTCAACAGCAAACGTCCAAAAGAGAGAACACATTGAGAAAATGCGTGGTTATTTTTAAACTAGGGTTGGGCATAAATTTGTTTGACTAATAGGGTAGGGGTAGAAAGGTGCCCTTCTCCTCTCTATTCTGGAGGCCACAGATTTGAATGATTAGAGCAACAGAACTTTTCTAAGGACTTTTCATTTAAGAGTTATTTTCTCCATGGTATTCTATTCATCAGACTTCAGAAAAAGTGGAAGAAATCTACAAAACACTAGTTCCAGGAGACAAAGGTTGGCAGCAGAGTATTTTCATGCTGTTCTGCTTGTTGAGATGGTTGCTAACCTGTTCAACAATTCCTATTGACTTGCACAGAGAAGGAATCTGATCTACTGTGCATTCCCAAATCAAGGATGTTTTCCCACGGTAGTCATTTTAGACCGTTAACATTGCAACTGTTAAATTTATGTGGGTATAACTGACATGGTTTGAAGAAGGCACTGGGCAAGCTAAGTCTTAAAAATTTTGTTCTAGGTAGACCATTTGTGATACCAGTTTTCTGTGTGACAAGACTTCCTAAAACAACCCCTTAAAATGGCTCTGTCTCTCTTAGGGACTAGATTTGTACCCAGTAAATTAATCTAGAAGATTACTGTAAAAGCTCTTCAACTTTTAGGCTAATGATGACCAATCAAAGGAGCAGTGGGAACCACTTACATTTGTTAATTATTTTACCAGCTGACTCTTTCTTATTCAGAAATGTTATTTCCCTAGAAAGTTATCTTTTTAAAATGCAAATATGATCTTGTTACTTCCTTCTAAAGCCCATAAAAAGCTTTGTATAGGTCTTAGAATTCAAACCTTTATGCTACCTACAAAGTTCTGAATGCTTGCCTCTATAGCCTATTCTTGGACTGTTCTCTACCTGATTCTCAGCTCTTAGGTCACATGGTCTTTCCTTGTGGGCTCGAGTCTGTTCCCTTTCTCTCTGTAGCTGCCTCTTCTTGCCCTCTAACCTAACTCCTCCTATCCTTCAAATCTCACTGTCACTTCTGGGTCAACTGTGTTCTGTTTTTCAGAGACCTTAGCTTTGTTGGACATTAAACGTTCATCAGTGTGATTATATGATTGATGTCTTCCTTCTAATCTTGACTTAAGCTCCTAGAGAACAGGGCCTGTATCTGCTTTGGTTCACTGTATTTTCAGTGTCTAGCCCAGGACCTGGCACATAATAGGTGTTCAATAACTATGTGCAGAATGAATGAGTGAGAAATGAAAGTATCCGATAATCATAAAACTAGTCAGTTTTGCTGACATTAGAAGGGACAGGTCAAGCCAGGCAGAGTTTTCATTGTGAGTTAATATAGTACATTTGAAGTCAGGAAAATCCCACATGAAATGAGATTTGGGATTGTAGGGGAGGAAGAACTATTCCTCTACCCTCCAGGTCCTTCTGGCTGGTTTAAGAATTAAATTGATGTGAGACAGAATAACAGGAGAAAATTTAAAAAGTTAAATAATGTGTATACTTGGGAGAAACCCAGGAAAACTGAGTAACCTGCCAAAATGGCAGAAGCCACCACCTTCAATAGCATCTTCAGCTAAAGACAAAGAAGGATGTTAGGGGTAGTGGTTTTGGACTTCAAAGGGGAGAAAGGCAACTTACATGGAGATGGAAAAGCAAATGTTTGCTGAACCATCTATAGACAATGTGATGAGAGAGAACTTTGATTAAAATGGGCTTAGCAAGGATCCTCCCACTCTATCATACCCAAAGTTATCTATGGTGGTGGCTTGTCCTGGGGACAGGCCTTTTATCTTAAATTCCTTTAGGCAGTTTGGGGGAAGGTCAAAGTTTCTTTCAGAGTCTTTTGTCCTTAAAATTAATGCAGCCAAAGAGACACATTTTGGGGTGGCCATTTCTGATCTCTGGCAGGATCATAGATTTTAGAAAAGTGTTGTTCAGTAGAAACATAATATGAGCCTCATAGGTGATTTGAATTTTCTAGTAGTCATACTTTTAAAAGTAGAAGAAACTGATGAAATTAATTTTAATAATATGTTTTGATTTACACAATATAGTCAAAATATTTCAACAAGGAATCTATCTAAAAATTATTAACAATATAGTTTACATTATTTTCTTTTTCTACTAAGGCTTCGAAATCTGATGTGTGTTTTACATTTATAGCATAGCTTAATATGGACCAACTATATTTCAAGTGCTCAAGAGCTACATGTGGCTATATTAAACAGCTCATTTAGGACCACTTACATATAAGTGAGTTGCTGGTAAAGCCTTTTAATGCTTTAGAAAATCAAATTAAAATATTTGAATTGAAATAAAATATTTTTGTTGTTAGTGCCATTGAGTCGGTTAGCAACCCTATGTACAGGAGGGCTAAACCCTGCCCAGTTTTTTTTGTGCTATCCTCTCACCTTCTGGTGCTATATCAGACAATGCTCTGCTGCCACTCATAGGGTTTTCATGGCCTATTTTTTCTGAAGTGGATGGCCAGGTCCTTCTTTCCACCATGGGTGACCCTGCTGGTATTTGAAATATCGATGGCATATCTTTCAGCATCACAGCAACCATAGTATGACAACTGATAGATGGGTGGTGTGTTTCCTTGACTGGGAAATAAACCCAGGTCTCAGCAGTGAGAGCACCAAATCTTAACCATGAGACCACCTGGACTGGCTGGCAAAAGATACTTATCATTTAATACCAAGTGCTGTGGTCAAAGGCCCAAACACACTTCTATCCTCCACATGTAGAAACCCTTTTTCCAGTGATTCCCTTTAGATGTGACATGCAGAGCATGCATATCTAAGAATAAGAAATGCATGCTTCCAACTTCTTTAAAGCCTCCTTACTCTAGCCTTAGAACCTAATATCCCGTCTCCTTCTCTCTTTCTGCCTTTTGTCATCTCTTTCATCATTCCATTACATTCCACAAACCTGCACATATAGTGAGCTCTCGACCTTCTTTGCATTCTTTCACAACTACTCAGGACGGAAATGACTGGCATCTCACTCTTCCTGCAGTCATATATATAGGTATAGGTAACACTAACGCTTGCAGAGTCATCTTTATAAGCAACCTACAACATATATAATATTTGTTTGAGAATATAACAAGAAGAAAATATAGATTATTTCATTATCCTGTATGCAAAACTAACTGAAATATGAGTAGTTCTAATTTTAGAACAAAAATTATCTTTGGACATTTAGTATGAAATAGAAAGAGTTTAGAATAAGTAATACCTATAAAATGTTTTCCCTGTGGATAATTAAGGGTCTAGTTACAACCTAAGCTAACCTGAAACTCACTAAGAAGGGGGCACTTAAGCCTTATTTGTTTTCTGACTTTTAAGAAAGGGAATAAGTTTATCTCTCTTGTTCCAGTTGTAGCTTGCCTTTAAAATTTTTCTCTGGGTAGATCAGAGATATATAAGAAAGTAGCACTTTATATGAAAAGTTATGAATAGTCAGAAAGTGGATAATACTTGAAAATATAGTGTAATTGACTTATTACAGAAACCTGAAGTTGGAGAAGTCTATGATAGCATTGCAAATATCTGATCTTAGTTTAACCTCTTTGTACAGTTCCTGAGTTGGCCATCTGTGGTATGATGGCTTGAACTTCATGATCTCAAGGATTTTTTACAAATTCAAACTTCAGCATCTGGGTTTCTTATTTATGGAGACAGAATGTCAGTATTTTGAGAGCTTTGAGGGTAAAAACTATTATATTATTGATTGCTATGCTTGAGGAGTAGATGCACTGGACAGACCTGATAAAGATTTCTGTCCAATTAGATGCACGTGCCTTTTGACCTAGGGTATCAGTAATGATGAGGCAAGTGCACTAAAGAAGCTGACATAAGCCATATGCTTATATGGTCTATTTCATTATGTGACTTACCGTCTAAGGTCAACAAGTAGTCTCTTCACCCATTGTTTGTCATTCTTTGTAAATAAGATAGATTTAACTCGATTTATTTTGACAATAAGACTGAAATTGTAGATCACTGAGTGCATTATTGTTGATGTACATACAAAGCATCATGTAAATAAAAGATAAGTTAAATATTATTTAGAGAAAATCCTAGAGGTGGTTGTAGTTTACTGTTTTAAAATAGAGTGATTTAGTTAAGTTATAATTTCTATAACAGCTTTAGTGTATTATAAGATATCTAGGAATCTTAAAATGTATTTGGCATTTTGGATCCTAATTCAGTTCATTATCCATATGCCTTCTAATTCCCTAGCTCTATGACATTGGGTAAGTCACTTTGCCTCTCTGTGCCTCGGATCCTTCCAAGGAGTTTAGACTCTAGTTGTCCCAAAGTCATTTCTACAACTAAGACTAAGGGTTTTATCTTCAGATACATTGTAAGTGTGTGAGCGAAGAGTCCCAGAGAAGGGGTGCATGCCATTGTCTTTTGTCATGAAATAAACTTAGCAGTTGGTCTCCTTATCTTTCCATATAAATATGGATATACTGAGTCACTTACTGGGCTATCTGAATGAATCCTGTGATCTGCCCTCTGACACCTAGCTGTCTCCGGTCTAGTGGAATGACAGACATCATATTTTGTTGTTTAAAAGTTCTTATCATGTAAGATCACCAGTTACTCCTAAATGATCAGCATAGTGACAGTTTGGTGTACTATAACTTCTTTTAGGGGCAATCTTTAGTTCTCCAATGAATTATTTCCCAAAGAAAGATTTTTTTCCAGTTTATATACTGGGGAGTGCTGGATATGAGTTCCACTGAAAACGCAAGGAACTTGTGTCTAGCTTCTTTCACTTAGTTTAATGGTTTTGAGTTTCATCCATGCTGTTGCATGTATCAATAGTCTGTTCTTTTTTATTGCTGAGTAGTATTCTATTTTATGGCTACACCACAGTTTATTTATCTATTCACCAGTTGGTGGACATTTCAGTTATTTAAAGTTTTAGGTATTTATGAATAAAGCTTCTGTAAATATTCACATACAGGTATTTGCATAGTCATATGTTTTGTTTTCTCTTGGGTTGTTCTGGGACATACAGTAAGTACACGAGTAATTTTGTAAGAAAACGCCAACTGTTTTCAAAGTGGCTGTACTGTACTGTATTCCCACCAGCAACGTCTGAGAACTCTAGTTGCTCTGAGTCTTTGCCAGTCCTTGATGTTATTTGTTTTATTTATTTGTGTATATATTTCTTTTTAATTTTACTCATTCTAATAGGTCCTGATTCCCTTTGATATCTCCATAATGATATTCTAGGCAATTTTGTGGTCCTGTGAAAGCTCTCTTTTCTCTTGTTAGTCTGACAGTTTGACCAAATCTTTTTAAGTCATGAACCCTTGCTTATGTGAAATCCGGTTCTCATAGTGGTGCATAGCTAGGAGTTAGGTGTTTTGAATTGCCTTTTGTCAGCAGGTTGAGTTGTTTAGAACATGATACCAATGACTTTTCAGGATTAGTAAAATTAAGTCTGTCTCACTACAAGGACTGCTCCCATAATGCCATGTAACTGCTTCACACTAGAGCCCTTCCTAACAAAGAACTCCAAAGAAGAGAGTGAATGCTTCTGTGGAAATTTATCATCAGTGCAGGAAAACCCTAAGTGACATATTCAGTTATTACCCAAACAACTTGCCAGGAAATGGGGATGGGAGTCAAGCTGAACAACAGGCTAACAGATTTTTAATTGAAACATCACTTTCACTATTAAACAAACACAGCCATTGCTGTGATGTGTGATAAAAGTTGATGGTGTCCTGTTTCTTTGTATGGAATTGCTTTTCTCTCATCACTGACTTAATTTGATTGCAGCAGTTTGTCAGCTGTCACATTTGGGTTCCCTCAACTGCAAAATATAGATAATGACAGTCTATGCAATTTAACAATCATTTGCCAACATTTTCTTTCTTCTAATCAAGATGAACTAAGAATTGTCTTTTCCTCCCTGTAACTTTGGAATAATAAGAAAGTTCAAAGCTTTCTTTTTGTCTGTCTTATATTTTACAGGTGGCTTGTCTAATATCTTGCATTTTTGTCCTGTTAGTCATCTATGCAATAGGACCTTTGCTTTACTGGCTGCCCATGGTACAGTAGTGCTTTTTCATTGTCTACTCTTTAACTTTACTTTTAATGAGAATCATTGTATATTAAAATTTCTTCAAAGAGTAACCTCAATGATCCTAAATCTGAAAACCATGTGACATAAGTAATGGTTGAATGGAGGAGAGATGGAAAGAGACCACATTTTGTGGGGGAGGAATGAGAAGGTGCCATGGCTGTTTTCTAATTCTTAAGCTCTCATATAAAAATGACATTGTAGAATTAGATTTATGATGTTCCCATTTGGAGGGTGGAACTAGGCAATCTCTGTTATAAGAAGTAGACTTTGGAAGAATTTTATCAGAACTTGGACTATTAGAAAATGCATGCTGGGCAAGACAGTAGGGAACAAAATGTATCTTGCCACCCTGGGTACATTTTTATGTAAAGTGACTCAGAGCACTTGTGCCAGTGTTTACCTTGCCTTTCATAAACCTGGGGCAACAAAGCAATGCAAGTAAGATCCAGAGAGCCAGAGACTGTCTTGGTCCTTTCTTGTTCTCATTTTTCATTCGTATAGTGAGATTAAATCATTTCCACAGGAGGATCTTCCAGTAATCAAGTTCATTTTTCAAAAGAGTTTTAATAGCTTTAGGTGAAAGCAGATAATTGATACTCAAGGCAATTATAAAGAAATATATGATATAAATATTTAATTTTTTGCAACACACAAATTTCAAACAAATGGCAGTGAATAGTTGTTATGAAGAGGACATTTAGTCTTATAACATTCATTCTGATAATTTACTACTTTTCTTTTTCTTTCTTTATTGTTTTTTTAGAATGACATAAATTTTACCCTGTGATTTTCTAGAATTGATATTATATTCTTAAAGGACAATAATAGGTTAGTGCTAAACAAAGTGAATATTGCTTTAGTCTTCTGAAAGGTGATTGCTTTTCTCTAGTAAGTACTTTAAAAACAAAGAAGTAAAAATTAAATAAAGTAAATTAAATTAAATTTAAATTAAAATCTTTATCTTGCTTCTTCATCAATTTATTTCTTATTTGTAGTGTGTTCTTGCAAGTATTATTGTCGTGGGACTGAAGGGAATGCTAATACAGTTTCGTGATTTAAAAAAATATTGGAATGTGGATAAAATCGATTGGGTAAGTAGAAATTTGCCCTAAAATTTCTCTCTTTGGCTTAAACACATATTAGTAACTTTAATACTTTCATTTGCAGAAAATAGTTTTAGCCATTTGAGACTTGTACACTTTACAAACTACCATTTATTTTTTTCAAACTCTTAATAAAAGCATTAAAATGTGAAATGTCTTTATAAGAAACAGAAATGGAATTTTGTCAAATTTTGGTTGATGTATTGTTTGAGAACTTTTAAAGAAAATTTAGCTAATTTGAGTGGATTGGGGATTCCCAATTTCCATTAAGAATTGCTTCTGGATGTGAAGCTCATCAAGGAAATACACACGAATAGAAATATAACCATTTATAACATGTATGAAAAACCAGCATTAACTGCTAAGAAATGTATGCTGCATTAATATAGGGTGAACATATTAACAGTGACCATATTCATTCTAAATACAAAAATTCTTGTGAATTGTCTTTTAAGTGGGTTATATTAAGAGGAGCATTATGATAATAGGATATTGCCAGGAACAGATTACATTATACTAACAGTGATAAGATGTCGCTTCTACTAACAGAAATATTTAACATTCTTATTCTAGAAAAATATGTCTATGCAAGAGCATCCAAAATTCTTTCTCGCCCCCATAGGGGTGAAGTATTTCATGAGTACCCTCTGTTTAGCTCTATTATGGCATTCACCATATTGAAATGCAGTTATCTATGTATTCCCCCTCCTTCAGATTCTTTACTCTGAGAGATTTTGGGGAGTTATTCATGCTCGTGCCAACTTTCATAGGACTTCTCCTAAGGCTCAGTATTTCTGAGCTCTTATCAAAGTTTAATGCTGGATGCCATTGGGGAATGCAGAGTTGAATAAAGAACTACTTGTCCACTCCAGACACTTGCATTTGTGCAGGAGGCAGACATGGGAACACTAACTTATCATGCAAGGCATGATAGAACATGACCTGGAAACAGAAGTACAAGCTTAGTACTGGGGAAAAATAAAGGCTGGAGCATTAAATTAACTTGGTTTGGGTTAAAAAGAAAGATTCTCACAACAGAGCTAAAATGTGAATTGAGACTTGAAGAAACAGTATTTGGTAGGCAGGCCAAGAGGGCAAAATTGGTCAGGCTGATGGAGGATCATGACTTTTTTAAGGTGATATATATGAGGGAGCACATGGAAACAGAGAAATGAGAAGATGAAAACTTAAACTATTAGATAACCCTATGATAAACATATTTCTAGTGAACTCATTGATCACATAAGAGGGAGCACATTACCGTATTGGAAGGGGAGAGCTACCAGGGAAACCTTCTTCCAGAAAATGATGGGTAGAATATATAGTGCAAGGGTCAGTGTAGTAGCAAATGGAGTTGGAAAAGTTATGGGAAAGGCTGCTCATGTCCTGGAAAAGAGGTTAGACTTCATCCTGAAGGCAGTGAGGCATCACTGAAAGGAGAAATAGGAATAAGATTTACTTATTAGATTATTAGAAAGTTTACTTGAGTAATTTGAGGAAGACGGGTCAAACTGAAGTATGCAGCAATTGGACCACTGCTTTAGTAATTCATGCAAATAAATGAGGAAGGCCTGGACCACAACTGAGACCATGAGATTCAAGAGGAAGGAACAGAGTTGAAAAATATTAAAGAGGTTGTCTTAGCCCTCTCTACCAGTTCATCACATAAAGCGCATCAGTCTAGAATGACTTCTAAGTTTCCGGTTAGGAACATCACAGGAGGAATATGATGTCATTCACTGAGTTACAGAACACGGAACATTGTTTAAATGCAAGTGGTTACCTTTAGTCTTTTTTTTAAAAAAAAAACAAAACAGATTCTCATTCCTGAGTTATTTATTTCAATTCATCTCTTTGTTATCTGTATGTTATCAGTAAGTAGTTTTCCAAGAAGGGCTTATGTATTTTATATTCTGTGAGCCATTACATGGTGAAAATATATTTCTGTTTTCTTTTTATACTAGAAGGAAGTTTTTGGCTGAATCTAAAATGCCTTATCTCAGGAATTTTTAGATTTGGCATTATCTTCAGGCATTGAGGGATAAGGCAGAAAAATCACAGGTCAACATGACTTTTTTGTTATTTTATGTGTTTGTTTTTCTAAATGGATGCTCAGTGAGATTCTTTCTTGCCCATGAAGTTTGGTAATATTATCAGAATATTTCTTGTGGTTGAACACCAGTATCAAATTTCTATGAGAGTGACATATCCTTTTGATCTCAGAATCAAGAATTACATGCAAAATTTTTCTTCTAATATATCTTAGAATTTTTTAAAAAATCTATACATTCTGTTCTCTTAATGAATTAGGTATTTGTTAATTTTATTTTGTCATTCTTCATATCTATGCATTTTCCCATGATTATTTTTGTGTGTGCATGTATGTTTTGTGTGTATATGTGTGGTTTCTCTGGACTATTCACTATATTTTTGATTCTGTATTTGTAGTTATGATTATCCCATTTTTTAGCTTTAACTATGGCTTTTATCTCTGTCATGTTTTTATTTCCATGTAATTCCTTTTCTAAATTTTTTCAGTTTGCTATTTGTCTTCTTCAATTTTTCTTTTGTTAATACACTTTTTCTTCTTTGATTCTTCATATCTATTTTTTAAGGTTTTTTTCCTGAGATTTTATTGCCTATGACATGTCTGAACTACCTTCTGTCTCTATTTAATTATTTTCTTTCTTTCTTTTCCCCATTTCTATGAATAGGTTCCTTGCTGATTCCTTTATGATTAGAATGCGTTTTTAGTGGACCTAGCTATTTGCTGAAAAATAATGTGAGCAGCTCAGGAGGTAGGAAGTGAGGGCAGGAGGTAAATTGTCTCTCTGATTTAGGTATGTCTTCTGAAGATTTGTCCCTAGTTGAAACAAAGTCTCACAAATCATAGGCTCTGGTGATCTGACACTTGCTGTCTCTTCTCATTCTTTACCTTGCTCCACCTTGCTTCACCTCTGTCAGTCTCCTTTGGTTAGGAAGCTAGGTTTTAAGTGATACAAATGGCATTTCACCTTACTGCCCTTCTTTCTATGGCATCAAATGGATACTGTATGGGTACATTCCCTTCTCTGGTGGCCCACCATTGCCCCTAGATCTTAAAGCACTTATTAGAAGATTATTGTGTAGTATTTTAAAAACCATTAGGCAGTGAGGCATCTATAATTGATTGAACTTTGAGGATAAATTTGTTGGCTTCCAGAGTCCTCTTTGATGTCTTTCAAATGTCACAGTATTTGGTAAGTCTACACCATATTTTGTGCTTAGTGTTGTGACAATGTTCTTGTTTTATGGTCTGGATTTTCCTCCCTATCTATGCAGTTTTTATGTTGTTTTTGGTGGATTTTAATAGGAGTAAAGTAAAAATTCTTTTAATATGCCATATAAATCTGATATCCAAATCTATACTTGGAGAGGTAATTCTGGCAGCAATATGTGTAAACAGTTTTCAGTGCTGATAACAACAGCAGAGAGTTAAGTAGGAGGCTGTCAGAAGAGTCTAGGGGAGCGAGAGTAAAGTGTGAATTAGGGCTTTACCAGTGAATTGAGAATTGGGTATGGCTTGAGTTTTTTAAATTAATAATTGATAGGACTTGGGAAATGATTGGACAAGTAGAATGAAAAAGGAAAAATAGTAAAATATGATCCCAAAGTTTTTGATTATAGTGTCTTGAAGAATATTAGTGTTATAATTGAAAGAGAACATTGGAAGATGGGCAGATTTTGGGGTGAAGTTAATGTGTTTACATTTGGATATATTGACTTTGAAGACATTTAATAGACAGTTTGAAAAATAGTTTAATAGCAGCTTGGAATCCGTAGTCTCCTATGTAGGGGTGAGAGTTGAAAACTTGGAGTAACTAGACAGTATGGTGTGAGCAAAAGGTAAGGTTGAGAAAGGTGATGTGGATATAGCAGATGCATGATGACTAAATGGGACATTGGCTTTAGCTTGACAGTGGTCTCCTATGGTTGAAATGGACAGGTGTCTCTTAGTTGATAGGAAATTGAACAGTAAGAAGCCATGGGTTATTGGGATATGATCTGGGCGCAGAATTTGGAGTGAGAATGTTGCAGACTTTTTTGGATGTAGGCTATCTTACACAATAGACAGAATATGTCCAGATTACTCAATAGATACAGTATACCTAAAAAATATCATGGAAGTAAAGTTACCAAAGGTGTGTGTGTATATAAAATAATTCAAAGGTTGAAAGTTTAAAAAATCATGTAAGCAGGAAAAATCAGAAATTTTTCTTTCTTTAAATTTTTTATGTATAATAATGATTCTACCTTGAGTTATAGGTCAAAACCTTCTTTGAGGTAGTGAGGAAATGGTGATCCAAAATGGAGGCTGACTTGTGGCCTCAGAAATGAGTTTGAGTAACTGAATAGTTGGGGATAGAATTCAGACCTACAGACATTTAATAATGTAAGATCAATCACCAAAACAGATGGATCAGGGAGAGGCAAACTGGTCGAGTAGCTGCTAAACTGTGCTTTACACTGATGTATTTTCTATAAGGAGCAAGAGTTTATGTGTTTCCTGCTTGAGGTCAACTTTGGGGCTAGCTTGTGTTTCAGGGCTGTGAGTACCAAATAGGGAAAGGAACACATAATGAAGAGAAAAAATAGGGGCCCAAGAGCTAACCAATTCCTTACAACTGTGACAATCAGCATTTGTATCTTTAATAGGAATTGTTACAGAAGAGTGTTGGGATTTATTCTAACCAACGGAATTATTTACTAATCTGTGTTATTAATTTTCACTTGATATTTTTTTCGAAGCTATAAATGTAGCCCCAGGAAATAACTAAGAATTGTAAACCAAGCTTACAATAGATGATATTGTGGGAGAGTAAATATGCTTTAAAAACATGACCAGATGGTAGCAAAATTTTTGGTTGCTCTGAAGAATCATGGCCTCCAGGCTCTGTGGTTTTTTAAATGGCGGGGACCAGGATCCTCAGTTCCCTAGGCTATGGTGAACCATGGAGGTTGACAAGAAGACATTGGACTTATAAAGCTTTGGTGAGTTCTTATTCTGCCATGCCCAGGCAGGTTCAGTCAGTATTACGAGATGAGTGAGAAACAGCAATCATGGCTTGTTGAAGTAATAATCAAAAGCTTGCAGCCTTATTTTATAGAGGATCAAGTATAGTAAAATACATTAGCAAGGAAAAAACACACTGTGTACAAATAGAAGATTCAAATGACTGTCTAGTCACCTGAATAGAGGAGAAGCATCTTAGTGTCTAACCCATTAGACGACAGGCTGAGGATAACATGATACAAAGTGCTAACTTAGCATTACATTTGTAGGTGATGGATCCTAACATGAGAACACTTAAAATATGTTTTTATTTTACTCCAGAATGTTTGTTTCTTCTAGGTCAAAAGGAATTTTACAGATAAAAACTCCCTCCATTTACCTCCAAGAGCTTAGCTTTTCAAAATAGCCCCTCATTAAGAACCACTCAAACTCAGTGTAGATAAATAATACAGACAAAGGAGAAGCATTTCAAATAAAAAATGCCCTTAGAAAGATTTGTTTCATGCTTGTCAGAAAAAAAGTCTATACCCCCCACCAAGGATCTGTGCTGTTTTCTGATCCTAGAGAAGTTTCTAATGCTCTCATTTGCATATGGAATTGAAATTTGTTGTTGAAGATGTTTTAAAGTGATAATATAGATTTTGGGACAGAAAGAAATCAATTTAGAATTGTATGCATAGGTAAGTGATGCAGATAATTTGGGGGAAAAGAAAGTTTGAAAATTTTGTTGGTCTACTATTTGACAAATGCAGGATTTTGTGTTTAAAAAATATAATCTTCTGGATTTCATAAAATATTTTGCTCTTAAAGATTTTCTTTGCCAGAAATAAACTTAGAAATGCCATTATAATACAATATCTTGTAAATTGTAGTTTCAAGTTGTGGACAAAACTGCAACAATGTTGAATTCCAACTGAAGGAATAATAGAATTTTCTTGCAGTCTGTAGAAATATTCCCAAAAACTAAGTTGGCCCTGATTTTTTAGCTTTCACAATTTCACAAGAAGTGGCCCCTAGCAAATAAAATTATGATGATCTTTATAGTGGTTGGTGTAAAAGTGGGTTTGCTCATGTTGGTGGAGTCAGTCATTTTAACATTAGCCTTTGAGAGTCTTATGTAGTAATAAACTACGTTAGTTCTTTTTATAGCAATCTTAGAAAACGACGTTGTTGTTGTTGTTGTTGTTGGAAATGACCAAAAATCTGCAAACAATTGCTTGTAATGTTGTTATATTAACCGAGAAAACGGTGGGAAATTACATCATGCTTTTGAACCATACACATCAACCAACTATTTACAGATCTTAAACAAAGTGTTTGTTAGGTATTGAACTAAGGATTGGCAGCGTCTAGAAAGAAAAGACTACACGTTTTCCCCACCTCTGCCACTGAGAGTAGTGGGTCAGGATTTGTTTCTGTGTTTCTGTGCTGGGCCTCTGTTTTCCACTTCTTAAATAATGTATTCTTGCTGAGAGATTTGGTCACAGGAATGTTTATAATAAGATTGTGAGGAATTTAGCAATCATGAGGAAGACGAGAATACCTAAGGACTCACATCTTCTGTTCACTGTTTCTCTTTCAGGGCATATGGGTCAGTACCTATGTATTTACAATATGTTTTGCTGCCAATGTGGGGCTGCTGTTTGGTGTTGTCTGTACCATAGCTATCGTGATTGCTCGCTTCCCAAGGTAAGATCTTATTTAAATGTTTTGTTTGTTCTGACACAGCAGCAAAGTATATGGTGTTGCCACTTACTTTTATTTCTGTGTAACATATAATACTACAAGCTCGTGTTTTATTTGGCAACAGAGAATTAGAGGAAAAATAAAAGGAGAGGTTTTATCTATATATGATATATAACAATATTGGTCTTAATAAAGAGAAATATTTTATTGGCACTATAAAATGGAATGTATAAAATCTATTAAGGCAAATAAATTAACCCCAAAGCCATATGCTGCTCACAGAGGTTTTTTTTTTTTGAGTGAAGGGATATAGTATCCAATGAGACACAAATCATATGACAGTGTAATCATTTGGAAAATTAAATGATTTCAGTAAATTTAATTTTTCAGAAGACATATTAATCCATCTATATATTTTTTCTAGATAATTTATTGAAGAACACATTCTCTCTTTTTGTCTTTTTACTAACCTACTCTTCTGTTTTCCCAGTGTCCATCATCTGATAATGTTTCTCATCCTTCCCTTGAAATTCTATGTGAAATAATATATTAAAAGTTTTGAGTTTTACATCTACAGATTCTATTTTTAAAGAATCTATCTATGTAGATCCTTCATTATCTGGTCCTATCTTACCATTGATTCCCTCTTTACTTCCTTTCTCCTAAAACAAGATTTTCTCAAATACTATATGCTCTCTAGCCTTCTCTCTTGTAACTCTTCAATCCACAAGGTGTCAATCCACCTCTTGTAGCTTGGAGATATGGTATTTGGGAGCCAAGATGAGGTACATTACATTTTTTAATCTCTACTCAGATGTCTCTGTTGTTACTATTCCTGAAGATCCCAGAGAAATACAGATTTACCAATGTTTTATGAACAAATGAGATATAGGATCTACACCATTTTAGATACATTGCAATTATTAAGATAAAATGACATTCTTTTTACTTCTTCATGGTTAATGTAATGATTAGAAAACATTTTATTTTCTTTATGCCTTAATTCTAGAGCAAAGACTCTGAGTATAAAAAACATAAAAGAAATGGAATTTAAAGTGAAGACAGAAGTGGATGGCGTAAGTTTAGTTTCCTTTTCCTTTGTGCAATTATTAACAATTTTTGTGAGTGAGATGATTTTAAGATATCATAAGAAGCAGATAAATTATGACATTTGAAAACATGATAATTCTATATTTTTTCTTTGGTGATGAAGCTTGGCCATGCGCTAACATCTGTGCCAGTCCTCCTCTATTTTGTTTGTGGGATGCTGCTACAGCACAGCTTAATGAGTGGTGTGTAGGTCCATGCCCGTGATCCGAATCCATGAACCCCTGGCCACTGAAGCAGAGTGCATGAACTTACCCACTACACCGCTGGGCCAGTTCCAGATAATTCTATTTTTAATTAGTGTGAACTTTCAATGGTATATATGTGGCCGCCATACATATGGTGATTAACATGCAACACATCAATAGAACAACAGCAACAAGAATCTTGTATTAGCATTCAGATAAGACAATAGCATGGTTCGTAGTACTGCAGTTCCCAGTGGAATCATGGTCCAGAGTAGTTCAGGCATTTGGAAACCTCTTTTCCATTATTAAGTTGCATAAGACAGTCAAACTAAACTAATAGCTGTTCCAAATTAATTGATGAAGGAAGATAGGGAATAGGAAATAGGGAATAAAGGAAATAGGAAAGGGAATAAAACAAAGTCAGATCATGGTATTTTTTTTTTAACACAGTCAATGGGGCTGTGTTATTAGCAGAGGGTAATTAATTAGTCCAGTGGTTATGGAACGCCAATAGGATTGGTTTCTTGTACAGTGGACACCTTTTTAAGGAAACAACTTATGTAAATTCTCTCACCCTGTCCATGCTTAGGCAGGCCAACTGTGTGTGAGTTCTAGATTCTTATTCTAAGGGACGACCAAAACAAGTTTAAAGTGAGGGGGGAAGAAAACTGATGACTTGAATTTTTTTCCAGTTTTTAAAAATTGCTTCACTTTGTACCTGCTTTGTAAATGTTTGGCTAAAATTTTTTCTTTATTTTTCACATTTACTGGTTTCAGAAGCTCATGATTGCCCTCAGAATAGAGAGAACTGGCCTCTCAGCAGAGGGATCAATGTCAGGGTATTTCTGAGTAGACTGGAAATTGGAAGTAGCGCCAGGAGTCCTTCTGTGACACCAAGGGGAGCAGCTTGTGTTTTGTTTTGTTTTGTTTAAAGATTGGCTTCTGAGCTAACAAATGTTGCCAGTCTTTTCTTCTTCTTCTCCTCCTCCCCAAAGCCCCCTAGTACGTAGTTGTATATTCTAGTTGTGAGTGCGTCTGGTTGTGCTGTGTGGGACACTGCCTCAGCACGGCCTGACAAGTGGTGCCCAGGATCAGAACCGGCGAAACCCTGGGCCGCTGAAGCAGAGCGAGCGAACTTAACCACTCGGCCACGGGGCGGCCCCTGGAGTTTTTAATAAGCATGGAAATATTTGCTTCCTAGAGAGCGATTTGATTTCAGAGACTTTGAGGGTGTTTCAGGCTCAAGTTTTCCACCAAAGCTGTCTTTCTTTTCTTTCTTTAAATTTTTCTTAGGAATTTAGTGCTTCTGCAAAGCCCCAGACTGATTCTCAGGCCCTGGAAGTCCTCTGTGTGTCCACCCTACCCGCCACAGCTATGTACAGTAACTTGACATGCTTAACTTTGAAACAGAATTGGAGTCTGACTTTTCTTTAGCTTAAAGATCACTGGTTAATAAATTCTATCTAATCCTTATCTTTTTTTCAGTCTAAATGTGGGGAAGTGAATGAGGGAATTTGTAGGAAGATGAAAATGCTGAATTTTCTCCATGTCTTTAAACTTTGATTGGTTCCCATGTAGTCATTCACCTGAGTAATAACTGTGTCACATGAAAATATTAATTTTATTAGAATAGTGCACCTCACTAGTTATGTAATGTTTTGTGTCAAAAATAAGAGGGAAAAAAACTAAGAGAAAGTAAGGTTTGACTATCAACTGTTAGGGGGATGTTCTAGCCGACTTAAAGTGTGGTGGTGATCTGTCATTCCTCTTCCGTGCCTGTACTCTTCCACCGCTTCTTCACATGAAACATTCTCAGTTTGGGAGATCTCTTCCCGCTCAGTGAATTCACCACTGTTGAGAATTTCTTTTCCGGCACAATTTGGACTTCTATTCTCTAACAAATACCTAGCTTTGTGAAAACTAAATATGACAAGCTCAAGAATAGTGCTACTTCGTTTTGTAAGAGGTTTACTCTTGATTAAAAGTTGCTTTGGTAACTTAAGGATTTTCGTTTTCTTGAGTTGGTTAATTTGGAGCAAGTATCCTCACTTTCTAGAGGATATGAGCTATAAATTTTTTGTAGCTATAGAAACTTTTTGAGACTATCTAATTTAAATATTTACCTCATTTTTTTCTTTGAGGAAGACTAGCCCTGAGCTAACATCTGCTGCCAATCCTCTTTTCACTGAGGAAGCCTGGCCCTGAGCTAACATCTGTGCCCATCTTCCTCTATTTTATATGTGGAACGCCTGCCACAGCATGGCTTGCCAAGTCGTGCCATGTCCGCACCCAGGATCAGAACCAGCAAAACCTGGGCCACCAAAGCGGAACATGTGCACTCAACTGCTGCGCCACCAGGCCGGCCCCTTACCTCATTTTTAAAATGAGGAAACTTAGAGAGGTTCGGTGAAGTGGCCAAATTCATGGACCTGGTGTTTTCTTTTCTCTTTCTTTCTTTGCCTGTGTGCTGCATCTCTTCTTCTATGTGAGTACTGAAGCCTGAAGGAATATTACTTTATTCAGTTGGTGAGGACATACTATTTCATAGAACTTACCATCCTCTCGATTTCTAGTTCAGACCCCTGCCCCAAAGGTGATGGAGAAGATGGTTTTAGTCGCATTGCTGCCAGGAAGACCTGGGCAAATGGCCAAAGCAGATACCTTTTGTACTGAAGCTTTTCATTCTCCATTTGTGCATGTCTTACCTACATCCTGGCAATCTAGTGTAACCTAGACCCCAAGTGAAGTTACATTCCTGATACTCCCTCTTGGTTTCCTTCTCCCAATTAGTACTAGCAGTCACTAGTAAGATTACATTCCAACTGAAAGAAAGCTATGTCATTATGACGTAAATGACTGATGGTTGACCCTTCAGGACATATTTTTATTTTTTAAAAATGCTGATGGTTATGTAAATGAACTTTTAATTTCTAGACTGAGTAGAAAAGCTACTTGTGGGAAGATAGGTCTCCTTGATACTCTTGGATATTCCAGGCTGTTGCCTCCCCTAAACCCAGTCAGTAGGAATAAGGGCCATTTTCTGAAAAGCTGCGGACTCATCTCATGATTATCAGTGTTTCTTAGGAAAGAGGAAGTATATATTTTCCCTAAGAAGTGCAATCGTATATTAAGCTCTCCAAATACATTTTCATAATGAAAATGTTAGCTAAGAGATTGCTTCCATGATTGAGTAACATTTGGACTTGTAAGATGTAGACTCATTGGATAGAGCTGTCCTCTTTTATTTCATTCAGAACTCTGAATCTATTCCTTTTCTCCTCTAAAAGGAAACCCTGAAGCAGGTGAAAATTGTCTCAATAAACAACCCACTTGTTTTCCTGAATGTGAAGAAGTTTCACACTGATCTAATAAACATAATCCAAAAGGAAAATGCCAGCAACCTGCTACTGGATGATATCAGCAAGGTACGATCAACTGCTTCATGATTACAGTGTCATGCTACAGGTAACAGGCAACCTTATATCATGACACTAAAAAGCGTATCATGTAAATATAATGCATTATAAAAGTGTTTGGAGACCTCTCTCCTCAGCAAAACCTTATATTGTATTTTACTTTTTATCTGATCCTTGTAGTTAGCTTTTAGGTAATCACTCTTATTCAATAATTTGTTCCTTCATTTCTTCATTCAGCATATATCTAAAGGACATGTGTACTAGGTACTATAACCTTGAGAAGAATAAATAAGAGAAATCATTTAGCTTAAAGGACCTTTTACCAAAAGAAAGAAGAGTCAGATCCAAATTTAAAAGAGATAGACTATGATAAGTGACTTCAGAGAAGTAGAGTGTTGCCATCATTATAATGACATTATTATAAAATGCTAGCATTCTTTCTCTCCATAAGTTATCTCAACTTATGTGCATCATGATGATTTCATGTAAATGAGCTATCTGTGATTGTTGGAATTCTTAAGCCCTCCACAACGTTAAAAGAGCATGGACTTTGGAACTAAATTGCCTGGGTTAGCCACTTACGAGCTGTGGGACCTTAACAAAGTTATTGAACCTTTTGTGATTCAGTTTCCTCATCTGTAGTTGGGATGATAAAATGAGTTAATATATACAAAGCACTTAGAATAGTGCCTGTCCTACTCAAACTGTAAGATCTTAGCTAGTATTATTAGTTTGACTGAGTACAAGTAGTACCCTTTCCGTGAAGCTTTCCTTGACTATACCAGATCACAAAGATCTCTTTCTCTTGTGTCCTTGAACATATATTATCTTCCAGTCACTCAGGTATATAAGAGATCTTGACCCTCTCATTTCTGGTGTCTCAGGAGCTGTCTAGTACTGCATTCCTGACCTTTGCAGCTTCATGCTTCTGCTTCTGGGCCTCATACTGATCTGGACCACAGAGGTCCTCAATACAAGAAAAAGATATATCATTTGCTGACACAATGCAAAATGAAAATGTGAGGTCCCTTTTTCAACCATTACTAAGAATTTCAAGATGGCAACAGCAAATGGGAAATCCTTCTAAGCGTGGAGCCCTGTGTGATTACGCGGGTCACAAGTCCATTCAACTGGCTCTGCCTATATATCTCCAGACCAGTCTTTTCCCCTCACTGTGGTCTTTAGGATGTCACTTTCATCAGATTATTAGGAACCACCAAATGTGATTTTGGGTTGAGAAGAACTTGCTCTCAAGCCAAAGGCAGAGATACATTCCTAATTGTTCAATTGGTATACTAGACCTATTTCTTTCACAAAGCCATGCTGCACCTTGTGGCAATGTTCAATTGTATTGTGAGACAGGAAGGTTCTTGTGGCTGACGTAAGCTCACAACCACCATGCGTAATGGTATTGTGGAAAAGTTTGTCCAGAGTTCCAAATAACCTAATCAACCCACAAGAAGTTTGTAGTCTTATTTTACCAAAATATAAATTTATTCCTTGAAATGATAGACTACTTTTTGGGCTTTATAATATCTAGTAGAGTAGCTGACATGAAGACTCTTATAACTGTTTATTGATGGTCAACAGTATTTTCCTTAGAACATTTTCCTGTAAGACTAAGATTGCTCCAATTTGTTTTCAGAAGTTGAAAATTGGCATGTGCTTATCTTGTAGCATATTAAGTCAGAAGTAAACCTCATTCTGTGAGGAGGTTCCACATATATGATTTTGTTTACCTGGGAACTGAGAAATTTGAGTCTAATAAACAAATAGAGTTCATTGAATCTAGATTATTGGTAGGTAATCACAACGAAAGTGAGTCTTTAACTTAGAACTCCATGATGCTGAGAAAGGATTTGTTGAGACTGAGTTCCACTATAATGAAGATGATGCAAATATTGTGTGTATTTACATACTATGAGTTTTGAAGGACACAGAAGGATTCAGATAGTAATCTCGGAGCCTTCCTGTCTGAGGAACAGGGAATAAACCTTTATTCAGAATGGTTAAATGGATGGTCTTGAGTAGCATGGGGGCTCTTTTGGGCGTCTCATGTTATCCTTTTTATACACTGTCTGTCTTGGGTATCTATTTCTTGTTTTAAGGCCTGTGCACTTGTTCCAAGTTAAGTTTCAGAGAAATGAGTCTGCGTCAATTAATTTCTACTACAGCTTTGCCTCCTATTATCTGGCTGCGCACAGTGGTCTACAGTTCTGTCTTAAACTGGAGTGCTCTGCTGGGGCCTCAGTCTTCTCTTCTGCACTTTCAATAGATGGTGGTGAGGAAAGGGTATTTAAAACACCCTAGCACAGGGAAACTCACATCCTATTCAAAAAACAAACTAAAAATGATTGCCTGTTTTTTTTATACTGTGGCAATATACTTCCTATATTTCACCATTAAATATCTCCCTGAATGCGGAAGCTTAGGAGGATTTCAGGGTGCTAGTATTTGGTTGATTCATGCTTATTATTGTATAGGCTACAGATACTCACATGATAATATTAATCACCATTCTGTGGCCTCACTTTTCAAGAGAAGTTTCAATTTGCTGTCTATCTAAAATTTTCTTTTGCTCAATGTATTTTTTTTAAATAGACTTTATTTTTTTGAACAGTCTCAGATTTACAAAAAAATTGAGAAAGTATAGAGAGTTCCTATATACCTTGCACACACAGTTTCTGCTATTATTAATGTCTTGAATTAGTGTGACATATTTGTTATTATCAATGAGCCAATATGGATACGTTATCATTAACTAAAATCCATGCTTTATTCAGATTTCTTTAGTTTTACCAAATATCCTTTTTCTGTTCCAGGATTCCATCCATTATATTACATTACATTTAATTGTCCTATCTCCTTAGATTCCTCTTCTTTGTGACGGCTTCCAAGACTTTCGTTTTTTGATGACCTTGACAGTTTTGAGTAGTACTGGTCAGATATTTTATAGAACGCCCCTCTATTGGAGTTTATGTGGTGTTTATCTCTTGGTAAGACTGGGGATATGTGTTTTTTGGAGGAAAACTATAGAGGTGAAGTGCTATTTTCAACATGTCATATCAAGATTACATATAATCAACATGATTTATCACTGTTGTTGTTAACCTTGATCACCTCATACTGAATAAGGTAGTATTTGTCAGGTTTCTCCACTGTAAAATTCTTCTATTTCTCTCCTTTCCATATTGTTGTCTTGGGAAGCAAGTCACTACATGTAGCCCACACTAAAAGAATGTGAAGGAGCTGGCCCGGTGGCATAGCTGTTAAGTTCACATGTTCCACTTCAGTGGCCCGGGGTTCACTGGTTCGGATCCCAGGTGCGGACATGGCACTGCTTGGCAAGCCATGCTGTGGTAGACGTCCCACATATAAAGTAGAAGAAGATGGGCACGGATGTTAGCTCAGGGCCAGTCTTCCTCAGCAAAAAGAGGAGGATTGGCAGCAGATGTTAGCTCAGGGCTAATCTTCCTAAAAAAAAAACAAAAAAAAACCGGTGTGTGAAGTTATGCCCCACCTCCTTGAGGGTGAAGTATGTACATAAATTATTTGAAATTCTTTTTCACAGAGATGTCAGACAAGGTATTTTTAAAAGGAGGAAAAGGAAACTCACATTCATTGAATGTCTTTCACGGGCCAGCCTCTTTAATTAGGCTATCTAACTTAGTCATCACCAGCCCCATGATATAAGAGGCATTACCTGAATGTTACAAAAAAGAAAGGTTGAGACTTAGAAATGTAAAATAACCTAGTGGAAATCATACAGCTGATAGCTGTCAGAGCCATACTTAAAATATATAAGCTGGACCATTGAGTAGTAGAAGAGAAAATAGTGAGATGTTCTCTAGTCGGCCTGTAAGATGAAAACTGATTTCCCGGGAGAAAGTATAATGTAGCAGTTGGGAGCATGAGGTTCAGAATGGAGAGTCACATGCTTTGGTTTTAGCCCAGGTTCTTACTAGCTTCGTGACTTTGGTCAAGCTATGTAACCTTTCCATCGTCTGCTCCCTTACATGGAAAATGAGATTAATAACTTAATAGTATTGTTCTGAGGATTAAATAGTTAGTGCAAAGTCCTTGGCATATAGTAAGAACTCAAAAATATTGATTACTATCATCATCATCATTAATAATAATAATAAGTTATTTGAGAAGTAGATTGCATATGATCTTGTTAGAGGCATCAATTACTGTCAATTGCAAAGAAGTTTAATTGTAGGATACAGAGTCATTTTTGTTCTCCAGCATTTTCATAAATCATGAATGTTTCTCAAGCATTTTCATGGACCTACAGATGAGTATATGAAATATATGGTTAATGGCTTTCTCTCAGAGAATGCTGTGTTATTGAGATTAATGTCTGGTTGGATATGCTACATGAAAAACATACGCAAATATTTAGTTCCTGACCGAAAATCAAAAAAACTTAGTCTTGTAGAAAATGTTCTAAAGAAGATAGTCTAACGTGATATCATAAATTATCTACTGAGCTAATATATTCTTAGAACTAAAGATCATTTTATTATTTCAGTTTGTTATACATATTGTTCTGAAAAAAAGACTAGTGAAAAATCATTATTAGAGACTAGGTTTTTGTTATTTATGCAGAAAAGAATGATGTGCTTTTTTCAGAGACAGAAGTGAATTTCTTCAATGTCATTCTTCCTTGTATTTGTTTTCATTTCAGTGTGAACAAAACACCTTGCTCAGTCCTCTATCCAATGGCAACTGCAGTGGTGAGTTAGCTTGAAAAAATATCTAAGTGTTCTGCCTTAAATATTCATCAGAGAATGAAATCTCCCCCTTCTTCTCCACCTCTGCCTCCTTCTTCTCTCCTCTTCCTCTTCTTCCTCCCTCTACTCTCCCCCCACTTTCTCCTCCTCTGTCCTCCTCCTCTCTTCCCTGCTCTGTCCTTCTCCCTGCTCCTCCTCTCTTACTTCTTTCTCCTCTTCTCCCCTTCTCCTCCTCACCTCCTTCTTCTATTCTTCCTCCTCCTCCTCCTACTTCTTCCTCCTGTTCTCTCTCTTTTAGAAGTAAATTTATGTAAAGATGTGTAGCCCTACACAGGATGAAGGTGTAAAACTTTATTATGAGACATTAAAAATACCTGAAACACTTACTTAAATGATATTTATAAATAAATGAAGGGAAATACAATGTCCATTAATTAGAATACTCAATATCAAAAGATGTCAGTTCTTGAATTTATTTATAGATATAAATTTAATCCCAATTAAAATTCCAGTAGGACATTTTAATGGAAATTGATAAGTTAATTCTAAATTTTGTATGGAAACTTGAACGGCCTAGAATAGGCAAGACTCTTGAAATATATGAACAAGGGCGAGAGCATGTTTCCTTAGTGATCAAAATGTTTTATAAATCTGTAATAATCAATGAAGTGTGGTGTTGGTTCTGAGATAAATGAACAGATCAATAGAACAGAGTAGAGAGCCCAGAGAGGGGAAAAATCGCACATATGTTGGTGTTTGATTTGTGACAAAAGTAGCACTGCAGGGCGGTGAGGAAAGGACAGTCTTTTAATATATGATGAAGAGACAATCATGTATCCATAATGAATGAAATTAGACCTCTACTCCACACCATATCCCCAAATCAGTACCAGGTGGATCAAAGTCCTAAGAGTGGTAGACAACATACAGAAGAGAATGGAGAAGAATATATACAAGAAATGTAAAGCATTAATCATAAAGACAATGATCATTAAACTTCACTAGACTATTATTAACAGCTTTTCTTTACCTAAAGACACCAAATAATGCATGAAAAGATGAGGCCAGAGAGGAAGAAGATAGATATGACATAAAAATGGAGAAAGGATTGCATTCCCCAACAAATCAAGGAGCAAGACAGAAAGCAGATGATCCAATAGAAAAATGGACAAAAGACATGAACAGGCATTTCACGAAAAGAGACATTTTCAGGGCCAGCCCAGTGGCATAGCAGTTAAGTGTGTGTTCCATTTTGGTGCAACAGGGTTTGCGGGTTCATATCCCTCACATGGACCTACACACTGCTCGTCCAGCCATGCTGTGGCAGCATCTCACATGCAAAACAGAGGAAGATTGGCACAAATATTAGCTCAGGAACTATCTTCCTCAAGCAGAAGGAGGCAGATTGGAAGCAGATGTTAGTGCAGGGCCAATCTTCCTCATCAAAAGAAAAAGGGAACATTTTCAAATTTGCCAATAAGCATATGAGAATATGCTTAACTTCACTATTATTATTCTTAGTAATTATTGGGGAAATTTAAATTAAATCCACAATAAATAGCTCTTCATATATATAGTTAGCAAACATTTAAAAGTCTGATGATACCAAGGGTTGGTGGGGATATAAGGCAACAAGAAATCTCTTGTAAACTGTTAGAATCACCTTGGAAAACAGTTTGGCATATCATATAAAGCTGAAGATATACATACATTATGACCAGCAATTCCACTCCTAGTTATACATCCTAAAGAAATGAGAGCTTATTTGTAGCAAGTTACATAAACAGGATGTTTACACAGTACTGTTTGTAACTATCCAAACCTGGAAACAGCTCATATGTCTAAAAAAAGTAGCAGGTGTAAATAAACTTTGGTGTATTTGTACATCTGAGTTTTTATTTGATATGTTTATTGCATGGTATACTTATACAGTCATGAAAATTGGATGAGTCTGATAAACATAATTGGGTAAAAAAAAAGGAAGACAAAAGAAAATATATTATAAAGTTCTAATTCCAGTTATGTAAACTTAAAAACCAGGAAAAGCTGAGCAATAGTAATTTTTGCACTTCTAAAGACAATAAAGAAGGAATCTCTTAATATTTGTACCTGGAAAAATATGCAAGATTCTTCATAGTAGCTTTGTTTATAATTCCCCCAAACCTAGAAACAACTAAAATATCTATTAACAGTACAATGGATAAAGAACATATGGAATGTTTATATAAGAGAATGAAATACATATTATATCTACTATATTATATTATATTATATATATTCTAAATAGATATATGACATAGAATAGAATAAAGTAAATATTATATAACTATATTAATCAATTGCATGACTCACATCAACATGGATGCAACTCAGATTCAGTTTCTTTAGTCTTTTCTGACTTCTTGTGGCAAATTTACTTTCTCCTGCCTTGTGCTTTTAAAGAATGCTTATCTAATACTGGTATAGTATTTAATGATAATTTCTTCAGTGTCTTTCTCTTGCGCTAATCTTGAAACTTTTTAAGGACCTTCTCACCTCTGCATCATTAGACCAGGCCCACTTTGCACAGAATGGTAGCTGATGGGCGCTGTCACCTTCACTGTATCCTTTTGAAACCTTTGGCACCCAGTGGCCTTTTAATAGTAATCAGAACTACCTGACCAGAATATTTCTTCCAGCATCCTACTCCTTTTCCCTCTTCTAACACTCCAAAGTATCCTGGGTCCTCACATCTCTCCTTCTTGTTCAGGAACACCATCCTGCTCTCACATCCTTGTGCTTTAAATGCTAAGGTTACATTTACTGCTCATGTTCTTTATTTCATCTCTCAATTTAATTACCAAAATATATTAACTCTTGGTTTTATCACTTTGACGTTCTCACTCTGTGACTCTGATTCTGTCCTTAACTATGTTCAAAATGAATTACTGAAACTTTCATATTGTTTTTTTTTTTTTTCTATAAGATATTCTTGGTTTTATTCCATGGATAGAAAATACCCAGTTTCCTGTGCTCACATCAGAAAGAACTAATAGATCAAGGTACTTCCTCAAGTACCAGAGTAGAGTAGCCTGGTAGCCATCTGTATTCTACATGAGCCAGAGTAGCTTGAGAATCTTCTCAACATGGGGCTGCAGAAGCAAATGGTTGGAGTTGACATGCAAGCTGCGATGTAATTGCCATCATGGCTCTATTCTATTCTATGATATAATGCAGATTAATCTTAAATCACATTTGCTTTAACGTTCCTCTTATGCTTAAAAAATTATAATGATTCCCTTCTGAGGATCAAGTACGCACACCTAAACAGGGCACCTCAGACCATGCCCAATCTTCTCAAACTGCTTTCTCTTTTACAACACATTACACAAACCCTCCGTCCAAGTCAGACAGATCAACTCATGGCCTCCTTGTCTAATTTAACTATCCTTGGCTTTGCCTTTATTTGGGTTCTCCTGAATAGAGCCATATCCCTTCTCTGCCAATCCACATCTTATACTTTCTTCAAGGTTTAATAGGGAAGTAAAGTAAGTTGAAGGGACACACTCCTTGGCAATCCCTTTAGGTAGAAAAAGAAGTCAACCAGACCCACACAGGGCAATACATAGTTAAGTGCGGGCTGGAATTCAATGTCTTCAGCTGTAAAATGGAGATCATTGTAATAGTAAAACAGAGAGGCTACCACATGCTTTAGTCAATCACATATTACCTTATATAGTTATAGAGTAGCTTTATTTGTGTCTATTCTCCTTATAACTAGATTTTTAAGGCAAAAAGTGCTAAATTTCCATTGCATTATTCTTCATTCTCCAATGAACACTTGGTCAATGAATGAAAATTATAATGATAAATAATATTTGTATAGCAATTCACAGTTTTCAAAGGACATTCTTCTTAATAACTCTGTAATGGGTAATAGGTAAATACCACACTTTCCTTTTCAAGTAGATAATAGGATACTCTTCATTTTACTGGTGAAGAAGTTGAGGCCCATAGGAGACAACTAACTTGCTCTGGATCATGCAGTTTGTTAGGGACAGAGGCACAACTCAAGTCTCTGTTGAGGGCAGGCATGCATACAGAAAAGGGTGCTTAAAGCTGGGATTTGGGAGTACTGATCTGAATGCAGTCTGCAGGCACACAAGCTGGAAGGATGAAGTGGTGCTAACCCAAGAAAATGAGGTGACGGCATCATCTTCCTCTGCTTTGGTCACAAGGTTATGAAAATGGAGATAGAGGATGGGCTTAAAAGAGATTTCAGCATGTAATGAAAACAGCTGGCACTGTATGGGTATTTGGGGCAGGGGGAGGGCAAGGCAAATGATTCTGAAGCTTTGAAACTCTCAAATGGGGTTAGTAGGGGACCCAGTAGTGTACCTAAAAGAGAAGATATGTTTATTTTGAAGGATGGTGAATTTAAGATACTGAGAGGTAGTCCATGAGGCATCCAGTGGACTTTTGGGAGCACCAAATAGATCTGGAAGTAACTAAAGCAAAGGGAGCCATTAGCTATGCAAGGGAATGGGAAAGAGAGAAGAGAATAAAAAAATACTCCCTCGCCAACAATCTACAAACAACCAACTACAGATTTTTAGTTGAGCACATGATTGTTTAATCAAAATATTTGAAATAAGCTATATAAGTAATAAGATGGAAGTCATATTTCTCTAAATGAAAACAAAAATTGCTCAAATGTGGAGAAATCTGCCATTACCATGTTTAGTAGGATGTGTCCCAAAACACTTTAGTCACGTTATGCCATTACCAAGAGGCATAGTGCCAGTGATTCTCCAGGTCCACCTCTACCACCTTCTCACCTGCTTATCTTCTAATCATCCTCTAGACCTCAGTTCACAAGTTCCATTTATCTTTCATTCTTGCATTAATTAATGCATGTCTCTGTTTACTCAGCAAATATTCCTTTTGTTTGTTTGTTTTTGTGGAGGAATATTAGCCCTGAGCTAATATCCATGCCAATCTTCCTCAATTTTTTTTTTTTTTAG